CAGTTATAGATACTTTAACAATCTTGATTCTTATTGTCAAAAAAAAAAAAAAAAAATCCAAAAAAATGGAGTTCAATTACATTTGTGTTTTAAACAGTGTGTGTGAGTTCTTTTAAACAAATTTATGTTTATATTATTTTTTTTATAATTCAAGGTGAACCATATTTTGTTTAAGAAACTACTAATTATTTAAATTTTTTTAGTATTTTTAATACTGAGAAGACATTTTGTATACATATGTACTTGGGAAAACTCCCCTAAAAATTAAATTATATTACTCCATACAAACGATGTCACTGACCTATTTGTGTGTGTATGTACTTAAAGCCACAACCAATAATGTATAGATAGAAATTTTGTCAAGTTCCTTGGAAAGGGGAAATTAGTTCTATTGTATTGTATTTATGTGAAGAGTGAACAATTGGACCTACGTAAAGGGGAATTATCTTTTTGTTGTGAAATTATATTGAAGAATACAAAGTATTGGATATAAAATATTCGAAATTATCGGAAAGTTTTCATAAATATTATAATTGCATTCACTACATTGACTATATTGACTAATATATGGAGTGATCTATTGACTAGCCTATTGACTACTCTAAATCTGCTTTTCAGACTTTTCTATTGTCTACTCTATGGACTAGTGTATGAACTAGCCTACTTATTTGACTAGCCTATTGACTAGACTAGGGACTAGCATATGTACTTGTCAATGGACAGGTCTTTTGGCTACTCTATAGACAGGTCTATGGACTAGTCTATTGATTAGTTTATTGCGTTGTCTATGAACTGGTCTATTGAATTGTCTATGGACTACTCTATGGACTGATCTATTGACTAGACTTTTGACTACTCTATATACAGGTCTATTGACTGGTCTACTGATTAGTCTTTGAACAAGTCTATTGACTACTTTAAAGACGTTTCTATTCTTTACTCTATGGTCTAGTCAATCTACGTCTAAAGAATAGTCTAATAGACTGATCTATGGACTAGTTAATGGACTGGTCTTTTGATTACTCTATAGACAGGACTATTGACTAGTCTATTGCCTACTCTATGGACCTGTCTAATGACTAGTCTATGAACAAAGCTATTGACTACTTTATAGACTTTTCTATTGTCAACTCTATGGACTAGTCTATTGACTTGTCAATGTACTGGTCATTTGACTACTTTATAGACAAGTTTATTGGACTAGTTCATTCATGGTCTATAAACTACTACTATGGACTACTCTATTGATTACTCTATGGACTGGTTTATTGACTGGTCTATGGACTAGTCTATGAACTAGTCAATGGACTAGTCAATGGATTTGTATTTTGACTATCATATGAACTTGCTTATTAACAAGCCTATGGACAAGTCTATTGAGTAATCTACAGATAAACCTTAGACGAGTCTATTGTTTAGTCTTTGATCAACATACGAAAGTTTGTAATATAAGAAAACTTCTTAATATACATATACATACATACATATGTCGTGGTAGAATCGCGGTAATTTTTGATGTCAAAAAGTTTAAAAAAAGTGCAATAGCACCGAATTTCCCATGCCTGTTCGGTACTCAATTTTCTCTCTCAAAGATGAAATATAATTTTAAAATATTGAATTATAAATAATTAAATAAAGTACATAAATCTTTAAATTTTCATATAAAATAAATAATTTTAATGAAAAAGTAAAACAAACAACAAATTCCAGACACAACACGAGTTAATTTCATAAATAATGAATTATTTACTATCAACAAAAGAGACACATATAAAAGAAAGAGTCAAATTAAATGTTTGTAAACAAAACGGAAATGCGTAGTTTTTTATGCATTTAACTTTTGTAACAACAACAAATTGCAGGCATACATATAAAATGTAAACAACGTCATTTGTTGTTGTATTTTAGGGTGTAAACAAAACACTCAAAGAAATAATAATGGTGAAAAAATAAAGATAAGAATAGTATTTTAAAACTCTATAGTGATAATAGGGTAATCACAAGAAAGGATTATTATTGTTGTTGTTCTGCACACTACAAAAAAAGGACATTCAAATTTTGTATTAATGAAAAACAAAAGATTAAATGAATATGTATCAGGTACAATTCTCTATAGATATTTAAATTTAATCTACATATTTAGCTAAAACGTATAAAGGAAGTTGTTTACAAGAGTCCTTTTTTCAAAAACTATAGACAAGGAACATCTTAAACAAAGACCTGGAAGGGATGAAAATTTCCTATAAAGAACAAAAATATAGTGGTTGAGGGTTCAAGCTGTAATGTTGCTGCTTGTCTCTAATGCATTTCCCTCAGATTATAACTATTTTTAGATTAGTTACAATATGTTTTAAAAACTCTGGCACCAAGATTTTCTCTTCGAACAAGTGACGGTAGAACAAAGAAGAATTATTAGAATCTTAAAAGAAGAAAGAAAAACATATTGTCACGTAATAAACTGTGAATACAACAAATGTTGCACACGCTGCCTGCCTGCCTGTTGCCTTTTTAGCAAAAAAGTACAAAAAAGGATATTGACCGAACGATCCAAAAAATAATGTTTTTTTATACTGAGAACTTGGTATAAAACACGTTTGCTTTTTTGTTGTATATTTTGTTGATATTTTTTATGGAAACAAAGACAGAACAACAAAAATTGAGTCTTTTTGCTTCTATCGCTTTGCTCTTTTTTCATATTCATTTGAGATGATTTATTTATTCATATCAGGAATGGAAAATTTAGTACTATTGTAGGTATTTGCTTTAAATACTTTTCGACAGTGTAAAATATGACTGTAAATGCTTTACATATTCACCCTATCGCCAATTAACATTTCTCGTGAAATATGTTCCCTTTTCACTTCTTTCATTCACTAACTTTATTGTCTTAAAAAAAATCGCCTAACAGGGAGATTTGTTGATGGAATTTTGTAAACATTGAACAGCTGTTGCATACGAAATCAACTATTGTGAGTGAATTGTTCACAACAAGTTCACCATAACAATGTTCCCTTCGAGGGGAATGAAAATTTCAAGGGAACAAAAATTTCACATCTATTGGCAATAGGGGTGATTAGGTACTTTTTAGACTAGTCCAGAGGCAGTAAATGAATGGACTAGTCCACAGAGAATATACTAGTTAATATAGAAGTTTATAAACTCGTCAGTAGACCAGTACATAGAATAGTAATTAGACTAGTTATATATAGAGTAATCAATAGACTTGTCCATAGACTACTCTAAAAGCTAGTCATTAGACTATTCTATAGACTAGTTCATAAACTGGTCAGTAAACTAGTCCATAGAGAATATACTAGTTAATATAGAAGTTTATAAACTGGTCAGTAGACCAGTACATAGAATAGTAATTAGACTAGTTATATATAGAGTAATCAATAGACTCGCCCATAGACTACTCTAAAAGCTAGTCATTAGACTATTCTATAGACTAGTTCATAAACTAGTTAGTAAACTAGTCCATAGACCTCTCAATAGACTATTAAATAAACTGCTCAATAAACCATTCCATTCCAGATTAGACCATAGACTTATTAATAAACTCGATAGAGTAGTCAATATACTAGTTCATATACCAGTCAATAGACTAGTACATTGACTAGTCAATAAACTAGTAAATAGACTAGTTTATAGATTAGGCCATAGAGTAGTCAATAGACCAGTCCATAGACTAATCCATAAACAGCTTAGTAAGCCATTTCATATTCAATAGATTTGTAAATAGGCTTGTAAATATACAACTAGTCAATAGACTAATCCATAGACTACTCCACTCAAAACCCTATTCCAAAGACTAGTCCGTAGACCAGACATTAGACTAGCCCATAGTTCATAGATTACTGCATGGACTTGTCAATAGACTAGTCCATAGACCACTCCATCTACTATTTAACAGACCAGTCAATAGACTTTTCAGGCTTTTCAATAGACTTGTCTATAGAGTAGTTCATTCAATACATAGGCTAGTTAGTAGACTAGGTCATAAAAAAAACAGTTTAAAGAAGAAAAACCTTATAGGGAAAAAGTACTTTTTTTTACAAAAATTATTAATATTTCAAATTTTCCATGCCTGCTTCATACCTATATGAGGCACGTTTTTTCTTTAATATTATTATTATCATTGAGTCTTTGTTTGCTGGTAATATTTTTTGTTGTTGTAAAAATATTGAGTAAATTTTGTTGATAAGCTTGAGTGCAATTTGATATTTTAACATTATAGCTCATTATTTATGCTTAATTGTGTAGAGCTTTGTTATTGTTGTAGAATTTGTTTGATACACTGAAAAAAAATTAAATGATTTCAAAATTTTTTAAAAATTTTTAATATTATTCAAAAAATAGTGTATTCTTCTATGCCGATTACCTAGGTTTTTTAACCTTTAAGGCGTTAAATCCAATTTTGTGTTACACTGTTTAATATCAAGCTAATAGATGGTGATAATTTAGGGAATAACTATAACTTTTCCTTTCAACTCTAAGGGGACAAAAGTGATGCAGAGAATGATATTTGGAAAAACCTGGGTTTCTCCCTAGGGGCCCTATATAGCCATCAACCGTAGAGAGATTTGTCGTAGGAAGATTTTTATGCTGTATTCATTCCGCACTCATTAATAGTTTATCGTTGCTTATCAAAGCCGTTTCGTTTGTTTGCAGATTTCTGGAACGAACTATCCTTCGGTGGAGATGTATGATATTACGTTTTCGTTGCCGATTATGGCTTATGCGAAAACAAGACTTTAATAGTTCGTTGGCAACAATAAAATGTTAAAAAAATATTAAGCCTAGAATTAATCATCAATTGAAATGACTTTGAAAGCATTTTATTTCCTAACAAGTCAAATTTGTTGAATTTTTCAAAATAAATTTTATGATATTTACAAAATTATTTGTATTCCAAAATCTTAAAAATAAATGTTTAAATTATACGAAATTTTACGAAGTCCAAAAAAACTAATTTATTATTTTCAATTGTCTATTTGCAGGTCTTATTTCTACAGCAAAGTTTCTTGGAACAAGAAAAACTGATCAAGAAATTGGACTTTAATTATAAACAGAAAAAATAAACATTTCAATACAAAAAAAAAATTATATTTCATACAATAAAAAAAATATTCTTGAAATAAAAAAAAAACAAAAATAATCAAAAAAGTGCATAAAATTACTAAATTTTAAACTGCAGAAAATATTTTGAAAAATAGTGTTTTTTTAAAGTGAAAATACTTAAATTTCAAACTATAACAAAACAAAAATTCTAAATATTTTAAAATTTTTAATCCCAAAAAACAAAAAAACGTGTATAACTGATTATAAATAAACAAATTAAACGTGTTGCGCCGGGGGCATGTTTAGTGGGATTGAATGTGCGGTTAAGTGTCGTCTATGGCCGAGTCCGTTAATTGTCAATCGCTCTCTGCAGTGACGGAGGGGCACGACGGCAGCATATTACAAACATTTGCAACAAATACTACGACAGGAGTAAATACTACAACTAAAAATACGGCCAAACATAGACGTGGTGGTCGGCAACAACAACAACTACATCATCAACAACAACAGAAACAACAGCAACAAACTCATAATAACAATAATATTAGCAAAAACTTAACCGTTACTCAAACCACAACCGATAAACGTTCACGCAGCAAGTCACGCTCTTCAGCACATCAAGAACACCACCAACAACAACAAACACCTTTTAATAATAACAGCAGTAAACGTACTTCATCACGTAATTCGACTTTTAACGCTTCAACATCATCATCGTCAGCAGTTATATCACCTGCATCCCCAATAACTCCACCGCCCTCTACACGTAGTGATCGTAAACGTCATTTCGTTGAAAAGTCAGCAATAACAACAGCAACAACAACATCTGCAAATTATTGTAAGTATTAAAGCGTTATTAATTACTATTGACAAATATTTTATTAAAATTTTTTTATATAATATATTTTTATATTTATAACAGAACTAGACGAGAACTAGAACCGAACTAGAACAGAACTAGAACAGAACTCGGACAGAACTAGAACAGAACTAGAAGTAGAACTAGAACAGAACTAGAACAGAACTACAACAGAACTAGAACAGAACTAGGACAGAACTAGAACAGAACTAGAACAGAACTAGAACAGAACTAGAACAGAACTAGAACAGAACTAGAACAGAACTAGAACAGAACTAGAACAGAACTAGGACAGAACTAGAACAGAACTAGAACTAGAACAGAACTAGAACAGAACTAAAACAGAACTAGAACAGAACTAGAACGGAACTAGAACAGAACTAGGACAGAACTAGAACAGAACTAGAACAGAACTAGAACAGAACTAAAACAGAACTAGAACAGAACTAGAACAGAACTAGAACAGAACTAGAACAGAACTAGAACGGAACTAGAACAGAACTAGAACAGAACTAGAACAGAACTAGAACTAGAACAGAACTAGAACGGAACTAGAACAGAACTAGAACAGAACTAGAACAGAACTAGAACAGAACTAGAACTAGAACCGAACTAGAACAGAACTAGAACAGAACTCGGACAGAACTAGAACAGAACTAGAAGTAGAACTAGAACAGAACTAGAACAGAACTAGAACAGAACTAGAACTAGAACAGAACTAGAACAGAACTAGAACAGAACTAGAACAGAACTAGAACAGAACTAGAACAGAACTAGGACAGAACTAGAACAGAACAGAACTAGAACAGAACTAGAACAGAACTAAAACAGAACTAGAACATAACTAGAACGGAACTAGAACAGAACTAGAACAGAACTAGAACAGAACTAGAACTAGAACAGAACTAGAACAGAACTAGAACAGAACTAGAACAGAACTAGAACAGAACTAGAACAGAACTAGAACAGAACTACAACAGAACTAGAACAGAACTACAACAGAACAGAACTAGAACTAGAACAGAACTAGAACAGAACTAGAACAGAACTAGAACAGAACTAGAACAGAACTAGAACAGACAGAACTAGAACAGAACTAGAACAGAACTAGAACAGAACTAGAACAGAACTAGAACAGAACTAGAACAGAACTAGAACAGAACTAGAACAGAACTAGAACAGAACTAGAACAGAACTAGAACAGAACTAGAACAGAACTAGAACAGAACTAGAACAGAACTAGAACAGAACTAGAACAGAACTAGAACTAGAACAGAACTAGAACAGAACTAGAACAGAACAGAACTAGAACTAGAACAGAACTAGAACAGAACTAGAACAGAACTAGAACAGAACTACAACAGAACTAGAACAGAACTACAACAGAACTAGAACAGAACTAGGACAGAACTAGAACAGAACAGAACAGAACAGAACAGAACTAGAACAGAACAGAACTAGAACTAGAACAGAACTAGAACAGAACAGAACTAGAACAGAACTAGAACAGAACTAGAACAGAACTAGAACAGAACTAGAACAGAAACTAGAACAGAACTAGAACAGAACTAGAACAGAACTAGAACAGAACTAAAACAGAACTAAAACGGAACTAGAACAGAACTAGAACAGAACTAGAAATGAAAATAAAAGTGAAGAAAAGCTAAATTTATCGATATTTATTCTCTATTTTAGCCTCATCATCTATCGGTGATCATCCTACAGATTTAACATCACCTCTAAAGAAACGTCGTTATCATAATCACAACTTACAGGATATTGACTCAACACCTTTATCGACTACAAGCGGTAATAGTAGCAGTAGTAGTAAATACAATACACCTAAAGAACAAGAAGGTGATTGTGTAGCACGAAGAACTCGCTCTAAAACCGTATCACCCGAAGAACCCAGCACAAGTAGTGGTGGAGGTGGTATATATAGCAGCAGTGCATACAATCAAAGGCGGGGAAGTTATACAAAGACAGCAGCAACACAACAGCAACAATATCAAAAATTGTGTTTTGAAACGACACCACAACGCAGTACTGCGACAACAGTAACAAATAACTGCGCAGGCAGCAGCAGCAGTAGTACAAATACAAATAACAAGAATAAAGGTAATTTATTAAATTATTATCGTAAAACACGTAAAATCAGTCATAGTCGTTCTTCGTCTACAACGACAACAACAGCAGCAACTTCAAGCGCAGCAACTACAACAAACTCAAATAATACAACAAAGAGAGCGGCTGCATTGAATATTTCAATCTCTTCAATTAGCGACGAAAGTTCGGATACGAGTAGTAGCGAAACTCAACAACAAAAGCACCAGCTAAAACAAACAAAAACAAACGCCTTAACGTCTGAAGAAAAATATAAATTTAAATCGTCCACTGGATCGTCAAGACACAAGAAACGGAATTATAGAAATCAAAATAATAAAATAAATAAGAAAAAATCATCGTCAACAAATACAGCGTCGTCAGCAACAACACCATCATCACAACAACAACTATTGTCAGCGCGTAGTAATCAGAAAATTGAATGTAGTAGTAATAACGTCGTTGCCGATAAGAAACAACAACAACAACAGCAGCAGCAACAGCAAAATAAAAATTTCTTATCAATTGTGGGAAATAAAACGAAATTAAATACAAAATCAACACAGAATACTACTGCGTCTTCAACAACAACCTCAGCTACACTTGCCACAGAAAGTGCTACAACCTCTTCAAATACAAATACATTTGGCTCCAATCACGATCAGCAGGAACAATCGCAATCACCACCAACTCTACATTTAGATAAAATTTCCAAATATCGTAAAAGTCTACGAACTTATCAGAACTTTTTGAATAATTTAACAGACGAATTAAATACAGCAACAACACAAAACCAACAACAAACAAACGAAACGAACGCAGTCGTTGGTGATAATATCCACCAGCAGCAAGCCAATTCTAGCAAAAACTCTTCGAACAGCAACACTAATAATACAGAGCCACAACGCAGTAGCTCCTCATCGTATCATTGTAATATCGATAAAGAACTATTTGCTGTTCTGAGTGCTAGTATCGAATCCGAAGAGGACGAGGAGGCGGACGACAATAATACAGCCGAAGAGGAGGAAGTTGTTCAAGAAGAAGAACAGGCCGAAGAGGAAGAGGACGAAGAGAACAACGACGACGACGAGAATATTGCCGACGACGACGTTGACAATAACGACGACGTCGAGGAAGAAGAAGTCGTTGACGAAGACGAGGAAATTGAACTACTCGACGAAGACGACGACGAAGAGGAGGACGACGACGATATTGGAGACGAAGAGGAGGATATTGACGACGAAGAAATTGAAGAAGAGGAAGAAGATCTAGACGACGATATACACGATTCAGTACTTGCTATTCGAGGTAAGTTAGAGTTCAAAATTCTCATACATCTCTCTCTATGTATCTTTATTGATTATTTTTTAATTATTTGTTTTTATAACAATAACCATAACAAGCGAAAAAAAAGCAACAACAATAAAAAACAAAATAAGTTATTTAAACAAAATAAGCAAGTGTGCCTGTCTGTGACCAAACAAACTTTTGTTCTCTCATTTTTATATAATTTTTTTATTATTTTTTTTTTCTAAAAAAATTTTATTGTCTCTGTCCGTCCGTTTATGTTTTTTTTAAATAAAAACGTTAAAAAGTAAAAGAAAAACAATTTTTAATACATATTTTTGTTAAGATTTTATTTTCTCACATTCTATTTGTTATATTCGTATTTGTTTTTGTTTGTTTAATTAATTGTTGCATACTTTATAATTTAAACATTTGTTTTTCTTTCAACGTTTTTTTTTTATTTATTTATATTTTCTTTTGTAAATTTGTGTTTTTTATAAATATTTTGTTGTATTGTTGTTATATTTTTTATTCTTTTCTACATACATACACTTTAACTTTTTAATAATTGATTTTTCTTTGTATTTATTGGTATGATTTGATTCTTTTAATTTTATATTTTATTTATTATTAAATTTTATGAAATGCCCATTGATTTTCTTTGTTCTTTAGTATTTATTCATTTTGAAACGTAAATGATAAACAGATTTATTTCATAGAAGATTCTGTTAACATTTTTTGTTGCAGAAGTATGATTAATTTTTAATCAAATAGACAGTGTATTCTTTTTTAAATTGATTATTAAATGGCAAAGTATTAAATTATAGATTTTTTATAGTATTTTTTTTTCGTTCGGGGAATTTCTATGAAATTTTTACTTATTTTGTTATCCCAACCCAAATAAAAAAACTTAATAAAACCATGGAAGGAAAAAATATTCCATCCATAGAACATTCACTGTTTCAGTTCAGTTCTCGTTAATCTTCGGTTCATGTGCAGTTTTAGTTAAATTCTAGTTCTTTTCTTGTTTAGTTCTAGTTCAACTCTAGTTCAGTTCTAGTACAGTTCTAGTTCAGTTCTAATTCAGTTCTAGTACAGTTCTAGTACGGTCCTAGTTCAGTTTTAATTCAGTTCTAGTTCTGTTCTAGTTCTGTTCTAGTTCTGTTCTAGTTCTGTTCTAGTTCTGTTCTAGTTCTGTTCTAGTTCTGTTCTAGTTCTGTTCTAGTTCTGTTCTAGTTCTTGTCGAGTTCTGTTCTAGTTTCTGTCTAGTTCTGTTCTAGTTCTGTTCTAGTTCTGTTCTAGTTCTGTTCCTAGGTCTGTTCTAGTTCTGTTCTAGTTCTGTCTGTTCTAGTTCTGTTCTATTCTGTTCTAGTCTGTCTAGTTCTAGTTCTAGTTAGGTCTAGTTCTGTTCTAGTTCCGGTTCGTAGTTCTTGTTCTAGGTCTGTTCTAGTTCTGTTTCTAGTTCTGTTCTAGTTCTGTTCTTAGTTCGGTTCTAGTTCTGTTATAGTCTGTGCTAGTTCTGTCTCAGTTCAGATCTAGTTCAGGTCTAGTTCATTCTAGTTCAGTTCTAGTTCAGTTCTAGTTCAGTTCTAGGTTCAGTTCTAGTTCAGTTCCAGTTCAGTTCTAGTTCAGTTTAGTTCAGTTCTAGTTCAGTTCTAGTTCTAGTTCAGTTCATTCTAGTTCAGTTAGTCAGTTTCAGTTCTAGTTCTAGTTCTAGTTCTAGTTCAGTTCTAGTTATAGTTCAGTTCTAGTTATAGTTCAGTTCTAGTTCAGTTCTAGTTCAGTTCTAGTTCAGTTCTAGTTCAGTTCTAGTTCAGTTCTAGTTCAGTTCTAGTTCAGTTCTAGTTCAGTTCTAGTTCAGTTCTAGTTCAGTTCTAGTTCAGTTCTAGTTCAGTTCTAGTTCAGTTCTAGTTCAGTTCTAGTTCAGTTCTAGTTCAGTTCTAGTTGAGTTCTAGTTGAGTTCTAGTTTAGTTCTAGTCCAGTTCTAGTTCAGTTCTAGTTCAGTTCTAGTTCAGTTCTAGTTCAGTTCTAGTTCAGTTCTAGTTCAGTTCTAGTTCAGTTCTAGTTCAGTTCTAGTTCAGTTCTAGTTCAGTTCTAGTTCAGTTCTAGTTCAGTTCTAGTTCAGTTCTAGTTCAGTTCTAGTTCAGTTCTAGTTCAGTTCTAGTTCAGTTCTAGTTCAGTTCTAGTTCAGTTCTAGTTCAGTTCTAGTTCAGTTCTAGTTCAGTTCTAGTTCAGTTCTAGTTCAGTTTCTAGTTCAGTTCTAGTTCAGTTCTAGTTCGTTCTAGTTCAGTTCTAGTTCAGTTCTAGTTCAGTTCTAGTTCAGTTCTAGTTCAGTTTCTAGTTTCAGTTCTGTTCAGTTCTAGTTCAGTTCTAGTTCAGTTCTAGTCAGTTCTAGTTCAGTTCTAGTTTCAGGTCTAGTTCAGTTCTAGTTCCATTCTAGTTCAGTCTAGTTCAGTTTCTAGTTCAGTTCTAGTTCAGTTCTAGTTCAGTTCTAGTTCAGTTCTAGTTCAGTTCTAGTTCATTCTAGTTCAGTTCTAGTTCAGTTCTAGTTCAGTTCTAGTTCAGTTCTAGTTCAGTTCTAGTTCAGTCTAGTTCAGTTCTAGTTCAGTTCTAGTTCAGTTCTAGTTCAGTTCTAGTTGAGTTCTGGTTGAGTTCTAGTTGAGTTCTAGTTTTAGTTCTAGTCCAGTTCTAGTCCTGTTCTAGTTCATTCTAGTTCAGTTCTAGTTCAGTTCTAGTACAGTTCTAGTTCAGTTCTAGTTCATTCTAGTTCAGTTCTTGTTCAGTTCTAGTTCAGTTCTAGTTCAGTTCAGTTCTAGTTCAGTTCTAGTTCAGTTCTAGTCAGTTCTAGTTCAGTTCTAGTTCAGTTCTAGTTCAGTTCTAGTTCAGTTCTAGTTCAGTTCTAGTTCAGTCTATTAGTTCTAGTTCAGTTCCTAGTTCAGTTCTAGTTCAGTTCCAGTTCAGTTCTAGTTCAGTTCTAGTTCAGTACTAGTTCAGTTCTATTTTAGTTCAGTCCGAGTTCACTTTTAGTTCATTTCTGCTGCAGTTTCTAGTTCAGTTCCAGTTCCATTCTATTTAGATTCTAGTTCAGTCTTAGTTCGTACTTAATACTAGATCAAAGAAAATCAATAAACATTTTGGAACATACTTGAACACTTTCTTTTATATGTATGTATGTATTGTATTTATTTGTATTATTTTGTTTTTTTTATTTAATCATTTGTTTTTATTTATTTTAATATTTGTGTATATAAAACTATTGTTTGAATTTTTAAAAACGTTTTTCTTAGAAAAACAAAAAAAACCAACTGTGTGTTTTTTATATGACAAAACAATCACAGGGCCAATATTATATATATTCTCTTTCTCTAAATGAAATTTACAGTGCTGTCACCTTTTATTAAATATAATTAAAAAAAAGAAAAAAATACATTTTAGTAACATAAGTTCCCTCAAAAATATAGTTGCTATCATTAGTTGCAATATGGAATACTTAGTAAAGGTTCTAATATGTAAATACACGACACCAGCCCAATAATGAAACACCCTCTTCTCTCTACCACCCACATCCATTCAATATCATTCACTCAATCTCAACTCAAACTTATAAACTACATAAATATTCAAATATTATATCCCATGTAATTAAGCATATTCAACCATAAATATTATTACCATATCTAGAAACTCACATACAACTACATTTGAATCCAAAACTCGTATACACTTAACTAATAAATACAAAAGAAACAACCATTTGTTTTTTTATAATTTTATTGTGTTTAATTAATAAAAAGCATTAAATAAAAAGCTTGTTGCATTAATTAACCCTTAAGCATTTGTATTTATTAAAAATATAAATCTTAATGTTGTAATAATTACTTTTGAAATTCATATTATTCTAGAATATTATATTCACTTCTTTGTTTTGTTTTTCTTGTCTATATGTATACAAAAAAAAAAAAAAAAAGAAACAAACATATTTACAATTTAGTATTTAATATATTTATTTTTGAAATAAAAATTTATATTAATATTTCTCAAATATTTATAATAAATTATACTACTACTAACACTTTAACGGAGGTGGCAGCTCTGACAGTTGATGTGTTTGTTATTAAGTAATTCAATATGATACAGACAGGTTTATTGTTTTTTCTCTATATTTTTTTATTGTTTTCAAAATTATTTTTCTGGGCACTTTAGGAAGGACCTTTTTTATATATTTTTTTTCAAGGATACAAACATTTTATAATATTTTTTTATTTTGAACTAAAAATATTAATTTGCTAATTTGGTTTAAAATTTTAATATTAAACAATGCTTGTGTACAATTTTTGAATTTTTTTAAAATTTAAAAAATATTGAATGAGTTTTCATTCAAATATTCTTTTTAAACGGACAGTTAGGTATTATTTTTTTTGATGTACATATTAACATTCATTACAGATTTGTGGTCAACTAGTGAGTCCACAAACATCTGCGAAAGTTTAGTTTTTTTCTTTGTGCGAAGAATATGTCCCAAATAAAACTTGGTTCATGATTAGAAGTTGTTCCAAAATATCTAGTTGTAAAACGAATGCAAATTGAACCACACCAGAGTGCAAACTGAACCACACCAGAATGCAAACTAAACCACTTCAGAGTGCAAACTGAACAATTTCTTATATTTACTTAAGAATTGAACAATTAAGAACAGAACTGTTCTTTTTATAGAGCAAATTTCGACTAGTTCTGTTCTAGTTCTAGTTCTGTTCTGTCCTAGTTCTGTTCTAATTCTGTTCTAGTTCTGTTCTAGTTCTGTTCTAGTTCTGTTCTAGTTCTGTTCTAGTTCTGTTCTAGTTCTGTTCTAGTTCTGTTCTAGTTATGTTCTAGTTCTGTTCTAGTTCTGTTCTAGTTCTGTTTTAGTTCTGTTCTAGTTCTGTTCTAGTTCTGTTCTAGTTTTGTTCTAGTTCTGTTCTAGTTATGTTCTAGTTATGTTCTAGTTATGTTCTAGTTCTGTTCTAGTTATGTTCTAGTTCTGC